GTTTTCATTAGCAGCTGAGTGAGGTGCGTTTACAGCACAGGGACTCAGAGGCACACTGTCGTTACTGACTCAGCTATGAGTCATGGTGACATCATGTTACAGAGTGGAAGCCCGGTCACCGGGTCACCGTGTTGACATGTTACAACCTGGAACCTGCTCCAGGGGATTTTTTTTTTTCTTTTAATTGTAGTTTAGGAGAAAGTTTACAGAGTATATTATTTCCCACTCAACAATTTATACATATTTTGTTACATGACATTGGTTGCAACGCCCTGGATGTAACAGCTCTCTTCCCAGGCCTCCCTGGCTTCCCCAGTTCCGTTCCTTGTTTCCCGCCCCTTCCGGCCTCCTGAGCTTGGCTTTGGGGCAAACGCCGCCCTTTAGCTGCGTGCGGTTGACTGTACTGAAGCACGGGCTCCCCCGAGTGTGATTGCTCACTTCCTAGACCTGTCCAGTGCTTGGCTGCGGGGTGATCCCTGGGCATGAATTCACCTCCAGGCGTGAAGGGTGACTAAGGGCCGCAGTCCCAGGGGTGACCGGTCTCTATCAAGCTAGTCAGTCTGGCCTTTTTTGTGTTTTTCTTCTACATTTTTCTCCCTCTCTGTTCAGGACGTTCCATTGTGACCCTGATCAGCGTGGTCTGTGGTGGGAGCCAGGCACCATCTAGTTCTTCTGCTCTCGGGGTCGTGGGGGCCGAGGTTTCTGTGGCCCATGAGGCCTTTGGACTAATTGGTTCCCTGAGTCTTTTTTTCACTCTTCTTTTCTCCGGGCAAGGACAGACCAGTCACTCCATCTTAGATGGCCACTCGCAAGCTTTTTTTTTTTTTTAAAAGTATTGTGATTGGGGTGAAAATTAACAGAACAAATTCATTTTCCATAAATCAGCTCATACACATTATCTGGTAACATTGACTGCAGTTCCCCACAGTGTAACAGCTCCCCTCCCACTTCCTCCTCATAGTGACCTCTTCCCTGTGTCCTTCCCTCCATGCACTCCTGCCCCGAGCTGTCTCCCTGAGCACACACTGCCCTTCCGTTCTCCCACGATTGATCGCTCCAAGGAGTGTATCTACCTGATGTAAATGTTCACCCTTTACGCCTGTCTGTTTGGCTGGAAGCCACAGGAGTGAATTCCAGACCTGAAGGGTGACTAGGGCTCATAGTCTCAGGGGTCTCACTAGCTTTTAAGACACCAGCCGTTACTCACCAAAGTAGAACATTCTTTGTGGCCTGTCATGCTGAGTGACCTAGGTGTGCCCTGAGACTGTGGGCCGCGGTCCCAGGCCCAGTGAGTCATTCCCTCAAGGTGCTTAGTTATGATAGTTTCCTGACTGCCCCGTGCTGTGTAGCACGCTGGGATACACTGACTGCACTACAAACACGTGTGTAGAAATGCCCTCAGCCAGGCCCGTACTGTTCATGGGTGCCCCGCTCACTGTCCCCCGTGTGCTCAGCTCGCGCGTCCACGCCTGTCCCTGCTCAGTGTTGTCACTGTCATTGCCGGAGTGCGTGTGTAAGTGTGGTTTTGTTGTGTCTTACCCTTCTGCACCTCCAGGGGTCCCCTTGGCTGTCAGTCATGTTTGCTGCTGCCCCCAACCTTCCCTTCACCCCGGCTACCACACACGTCTACCCTCTAGTTAGTGACTTCCCCTCCCATCTCTGGTAACCCTCGAAGAATGCTTTCCACGTGTAAACCTCTCCACTTTTTGTAATCGTGGTCTCGTATGTTATTTCTCCTCCTGGGTGGGCTTATTTCAGTCAGCACAACGTCCTTCAGGTCCATCCGTGCTATGAGTTGTTTCGCACATTCCTAGTTGTCCTTTAAGGGTTTCTACCGCTGCGCTGTGTGGATGTCATGGTTTGTTCATGTGCTCATCCGGTGATGGGCACTTCGGTTTGCATAGTTTTCTCGGCTCTAACCTTTTGTCTTTTTTTACCTTCACTGTGGTGAAAACATGCACAACAATACGCTCACCCGCATAACAACTCCCTTGGCTGTCATCCTCTTGAAAGGATATCACGACGCCTTCTCTTCCATGGCACCGATCGCTGAGTGGTGGGTTCGAACCAACAACAAAAGGTTCGCAGTTGAATGCAGACCGTTTCTGCACCGGCAGGGACTTCCTGACGTCCCGTGGGATGCGTGACATCATCCAGTGTTTACACCTTGGAAACTGGCAGATGCTGCAGATCAGAGCTGGCTGTTGACCGCTCACAGCCCTGGGCGGAAGCTCAGTTCCAGTCTGCGTCTGACTGCCCCCGAGCTCAGAGGACCATTGCTTTCTGTCTCATGACGTTGGCTGCAGACCCTCCAATGCAACAGCGCTCTTGCTACTTCCTCCCAGGGTCCCCCTTTCTGTTTGTCCTTCCTTCCTGCCTTCGGAGCTTGGTTTGGGGGAGATGCTGCCCTTTTGCTTGTGTGGTCCCTCACCGTGTTTAGTTCACGTCATTGGCTTGTGTGTTGTTGGGCCGCTGGGTGATTCCCAGGATGGCCGGTCACTTTCTGGGTCTTGGGTTCCACATATGTGGAACGGGGCCCCCATAAACCACTAACAAAAATGTTAGCTTTCTCATCAGAGCAGATGTAGCCAGTGAACGTATTGAGTTCACTGTTGCTGAGTGTAGAGTTCCTGAGAGAGGAGGGCTAGAGACTCGGCCTTGGGGACAAGCCCGTTTGTGGGGGTGTGGAAGGGTTGGCAGGGGGACGCAGGCTTTCAGAAATGGCTGGAGGAGAGCTGGCTAAGGTCCGGCGCTGGCCCAGTCAAGTGGCTTGGTGTGCTCGGTAATTTCCCAGCAGGATGCAGGATGGTGGGCGATCCTTGTTCTCGGGGTGGCAGACTGAGTCCCACCGAGGAGGCAGAGGGCTGGATGGGAACGCAGGTGGTTGACTCCTCAGCTCAGCATGTGTTTTCTCCCCTGCCGGGCCCTTTATCTTAGAGAAAGTTCCACCCCATCCTCCTTGTGGGTGGGGATGGGTGGGTGGCGCTGCTGCGGTGAGGGGCCATCAGTCAGCTGAGTGTGCTAAGAGTAGAGACTGTCTCTCAGGGAAGGGCTTGGCCTTCGAGATCCAGCTGCTTCTGGCCTGGGCTTGGGGGGGGCGGGGCAGGTGTGTGCTGGGTGGGAAACAGGCTGTGGGCAGGGCCGGGCCGAGGGTCCCGGGAGCTGAGGCGAGAGGCCTGGGGGTGATAGGGAGCCATGCAGAGGTAGCAAGGTGCATCTGGGGGCTCACGCCTCCTGAGCTGTAAGATCCACAGGGCCAGGGTGGGTGCCTGCCTGAGTCCCTGCCAGGTCCCTGGGTGGCGCCAAGGGCTGGCGCTTGGCCACTAACCGAAGGGTTGGAGGTTCAAATCCACTCAGTGGTGCTGGGGAAGGAAGGCACCGCCTGGAAACCTGGGAGGGGCAGCTCTGCTCTCGAACACGTGGCGTCGCCGTGAGTCGGAACCAACTCCATGGCAACGGGGCAGGGGAGGGGGATCCCCTCCTCCCGGCCCAGGAACCAGGCAAAACAACCTGCTGTGGAGACGCGGAGTCTGGTGGGTCTCTCTGTGTCAGAGTGAAACTGCTCCATGGGGTTTCTTCAAAAACTAATACATGGATGTGTGTAGGTATGTGCATGCAATTATGCCTTAGGTGAGGACGGACAGAGTGCCTTGCTTTCACGTCCACACAGTCGGTGTGAACACTGGGCTCCTGCCTCCTTTCTTTGGAATTTTCTTCCCACTAGTCTTCACATCTTTGCTTTGGGGCAAATGTCCTTTTGATCCCGGGGATCTGGTTGTTCTAAGAAGGATGTCCTCCAGCCCCGGGGGGGTCATTGTAAACTTTCCAGACCTGGGAGCTGTGGTGGCGCAGTGCCTAAGGCACTCGACTGCTAACCACAAGCCTGGTGGTTCAAACCCACCAGCCACTCCTCAAAAGGAAGGTTGGGCGATCTACTTCCGTAGTGATACTGCCTCGGAAACCCAAGGAGGGGTCGCCATGAGTCGGGTCTGACTCCACGGCACTGGGTTTGGTTTTTGGTTTGGTTATTGTTCGGCTGGATGGCAGCCAGAGCGGCTCCCGTGTCAGGTCTGGAGAATGTCTCAGGTCTAGAATCTTGGGGTCCTCACACCTCTCAGACCAGTAAGTCTGGTCTTTTTTATTTTAGGACTGTGACTCTTTCTTCCACACTTTTCTCCTGCTCTGAGACCCTCTGGGATCCCAGTCAGCCTGGTTGCTTGTGGTCGCCAGGCACCATCTAGTTCTGATCTCAGTTCGTGGGTCTGTTAGTCCTTTGGACTGTTTCCATGCGTCTTTGGTTTTCTTTGCTCTGGAACAGGAGAGACTAACAGTCGTCCTCAGATGGCTGCTTGCGAGCTTTTAAGACCCCCAGACCAGGATGCAGAGTGTTGTGTGAGCTGATGTAGCTGTCCCCGAGTCTCCAGTCGCTCGCCTCTGAGCTTAGCACCTTTGTCACGTGAGGTGTCTGGCTGAGAAGTTTCCGTGATGGTGCCTGTGTGCTCACCTGTGTGTATCAACATACATGCAGCCCCACAGTCACGTACGTAGAAATACACACAATGAAGCCTCCGTGTGCAGGGTAGCAGACGCATCTCCCTGGGTCATTGCTATGCACCATCGGGCCTGCTCCGACTCACAGCCACCCCACCTACAGCAGGAGGAAACGCTGCCCGGTCCCGTGCCAGCCACACAGCCCCACGTCCCTCAGCGCGCCCCGGCAGCCACTGCGTAATCGACTGCCGATACGCTCGCTGCGGCCCCGTCTGGGTCACGGTAATCGACTGCCGATACGCTCGCTGCGGCCCCGTCTGGGTCACGGTAATCGACTGCCGATACTCTCGCTGCAGCACCGTCTGGGTCATGGTAACCGCCATGGTCACCACTGATCCTTGTGTTCCTGTCTCTCTGTGTTGCTCACGCCCTGACCTCCCCGTGTACAGACAGACCTCACTTTACCACGTTCTGCAGAGACTGCGTTTGCTGCACATGGAAGGTTTGTGACAGCCCTGCATCCAGCAAGCCTGTCGGCACCATGTTTCCAACTCCCTGTCTCTTGGCTCCGTTTTGGTCCTTCTCACAGTATTTCCAAGTTTTTCATCAGCTGTTGCACACTTAACAGATGACAGTGTAGGGTCCACATACCCCTTCCACGCACTGGGAGACCAGCCCACGCGTGTGGCTCACCTTAGGACGATACTCGCTTCACTGTGGCGGCTGGGACCAAACCCACAGCGACTCCAAGGTCGGCTCCCTTGCTTCTCCATTCACTGTTAACAGGAGCCTTCCATCTACGTTGTAATTTTTCTCCCCCTACCCACCCCATAACCATCTTTGTGTGTTTGTCTGTAAACCTCCTTGTTTTCATGATGGTCTCAGGCAGGATTTGTCCCTTTTGTATTGTCACACTGTATCATGTCCCCCGGGGGGACTCACGTCACGTCGTGAGGTGTTAGCTTTGTGTAGCGCTCCTCGTGCCTGGCGTTCCCTGGTGTGTGACACCCCCCACGTGTGGGTACCAGAGTTGGTGTCTCTCTTCCTCTGCTGATGGGCACTCAGGTGGCGTCCATCTCCAGCTGTCGTGAATGGTGCCACAGCGAGCGTGGCCGTGTGTGTCCGTCTGTCGCGGCTCCTAATCCTTCGGGAGTGGGACTGCCGGGCCATGTGGGTCTGTTTCTAGCTTTTCAGGGGGTGCCACTCCCTGTTCCACAGTGGCTGTGTCATTTTCCACCCCCACCAACCACGTACAAGTCTCAAGTGCCCCACAGCCCCGCCTGCTCTCTTTTCTCTCTTCCTGTGTTAATTAGTGCCGTCATCGTCAGGGGGAGATGGTGTCTCACTGTAGCTTGGATTTGCATCTCTCTAACGGCTAATGATCGCCTCTCTCCATTGCATTTATCGGCTGCCCGAATGTCTCCTTTGCTGTAGAGTTCATTCATGTCCTCAGCCTATTTTCCAATTGGATTGTCTTTTCCTTGTTGAGGTGCTGAAAGTTTCTGTGTATTTTAGGGATCAGTCTCTTGTCTGATCCGTTGCAACCCAAGTGTTTTCCCAGTCAGCAGGTCTTTTTTCCTCTTGGAGAAGTCTTTTGATCCCTGAGTGTTTTTAGGAGGTCCTGTCGGTCCCATTCGTCCCCTGCTGTTTGGCTCCATAAGGTTTTCGGTGGCTGATCGTTTTGGGCCGGATCGCAAGGCCTTTCGTCCAAGAGGCCTCGAGGTTGACTCAAACCTCTAATCTTTTGGTTAGCAGCTGAGTGTTTGCACTACCCAGGGGCTTCCCTGGCCCTGAGGGAGCACGGAGCATTTGAACGAAGGAGATGATGTCTGGACGCAGGTGGGGGCGGGTGGAGCCAGCCTGGCTGCGGGGAGGGTGTGGGCTGGAGCATGCCAGGAGCTGGGCTCCAGAAAACAAGACATTTCTCCCGGGCGGGAGGATGGAGCACGTGTGGGTGATGTAGGAAAAGGCTTTAAGGAGCGTGGGTTGGTTCCTCAGGGTCCTGGGGACAGGAAGAGACTAGTATGGAGGGGACAGGCCTAGAGAGGGGGTGGATGGGAGAGACCAGGTGAGTGGGGCTCAGAAGGGACAGATAGGGAGGGAGGCAAGGAGGGAGGGGACGAGGGTCCCCCAAGGGCCCGCTCTGGTGTGTGAGTGGTTGCTGCTTTCACAGAGGTGGGGACCCCTAGGAAAGATGATCTTGGGAGGAACAGACTCGACTGGGGCTGGTACAGGCAGGACATGAGGGCCTCGCGGGCCTCTGGTGGCGGTTGAGTCACCGGAGAGTGGATTCTGACCCTGGAGCCCCAACGTGTGCACAGGGGAACTCTGCTCCACGGGGCTCTCGGGGGCGGATTTCTGGGAAGCTGACCACCAGGCCTTCCTTCTGTAGGACCTCTGGGTGGCCAGATACCTCCCACCTTTCAGTGAACGTTAACCGTTTCCACCCCAGGGCCTCAGCTTGTGAAAGCACCCCATGGATCCTTTGTGGAAGGTGGTAGTCTCCCCTGTCCCAGACAGAACCAGTCAGTCCCAGCCCACGGTGGC